AAAAAAAAAAAAAAAAGGGCTAATCTCAGCAGGGTTTGTTATTGCAAGCATTTTTGCGTCTCTGAATTGGGATCCAGAGAGGGATTATTTTCGGTTGCGCTGATTTTCCGGTAGTGTGAGCTTTTTAGTGGAATATTACGCTATGTGACGAATGTTGGTGGTAATAAATTCGAATGCGATCCCTTTCAAATTAAGGGTTGTGCCACTCACACATGCACTAGGGTTTAATCAATAGCCTCGAAAGTTAGAACCACCTTGTACAGCATTATAAACATAACCACATTAAAGTACTGCTCAATAGCTTTCATTTGAATGGTCACACACTAGGGTTTCATTCACACAATAAAAAGTTAGAACCACCTTATACAGTATAGCAAACAGTACCACATGAAAGTACTACTCGAAAGCTTTCATTTGAATGGTCGCACACTAGGGTGTCATCCACAGACTCAAAAGTTTGAACCACTTTGTACAACATAATAAACAGTTCCACGTGCCAATACTGCTCAATAGCTTTCATTTGAATGGTCACACATTAGGGTTACACCAACACGCTAAAAAGCAGTATGATAAACAGTACCACATGAAAGTACTGCTCAATAGCTTTCATTTGAATAGTCACACACTAGGGTTTCACCAACACACTAAAAAGCAGTATAATAAACAGTACCACATGAAAGTACTGCGCAATAGCTTTCATTTGATGGTCACGGAGTAGGGTTTATCCAACCTTTACAAGATATTTTATAATTAATTATGGTTGTAGGGGAAACCTCGCATCACATTTTCTAATTTGCTACATTACTGCACAGTTCTAGATGTTGTTTATTTTTGTTTGTTTGTTTGTTTTATTAGGATTATCGCTGGTGGTGGTCGTCGTTTCTGAAAGGAGGCCTTGTAGCGCTGTATATGTTTGCGCACTCTACTTTCTTCTTCTTCTCCAAACTGGCAATCACAGAAACAGCCTCGATCATTCTGTACTTCGGCTACACTTTCATGATGGTTTTGATTTTGTTCGTTTTTACGGGTGAGTCCAGTTGCTTTTTGTTCAGCACTTTGTTACAATGCGATTACTCGAACTGGACATTTGTTGATTGGTTAGTTTCAATCCTAAATTTTGTACGCTTTTCAACGGTTTCGGTTTAGTTGTGGCAAACTAAGTTTTCAAGCTAAATTTTTCGAGCGAGATTTACAGTTATAATAATTCGCCATCAAGGACTGAATCTCTTAGAGTGTATATAGCGCGGAGGAGTCGATAGTACTTGTGTATTCATATCAAGCAGACCCTTCCCACAACACTTTGTTGGGTTTTCAATTTTGTTAAGATCTATTCGTATTCTTCAATGCTGTTGGTTTGTTTGAGAGCTAAAAGATACGGAAGGCGCTTTGTGGAAAAAAAAATCCTTTTTTCTGCTCTATTAAATTTTACCTATTTGTAGTTTTTGTTGAGGACCTTCTCGGCTTGAAGATAATATAAATTAATATAATGTATCGTGCTACTTCGATAATATCAGTACATTGTCAAGAAAATCACCATATTTTGGAAGAGTAATGTATTTTTATCTACTCTGAGACCTATTACTACATTACACGGGCATCAGTTTTGGAACGCAAAGAATGTTGGGGCGAGTCTCATCTCGCGGTGCCTTGTGGGATCGTTACTGGGGACAGTTCGACTTCTAGTCCTTTGCTTTGTTCGCAGTAACGTTCCCACAGGGTACCGCGAGTTGAGACTCGCTCCAAATTTCCTCTCGCTTTTAAGTGGCGAATGACGTAGCGTAAGGCCCTCTTTACACGACCCCGGGTTGAATCACCGCAGAGAGAGCTAAAAGTAAACACGTAACACCAACCCGGGTTGTCGGTCGGCAATAGCGTGTGGTTTGCTTCGAGCCTGACCCGGGCCAGCCTTTCTACCGATCAAAAACTGAAAACATGGGCTAGAAAGATGACAAACAAAAAACCTAGAAAGTTATACGGAATGGTGGGAGGTCCTGATGTACAAACCAAACAAACAACGAAACAACATGGTTATTTGACTGAAAGTACCAACTCGGGTTAGCTTTTGGCCCGCTGTTTACATGTGAGAATGGAAGAAATTTCAACCCTTCTCGCCGGATCAACCCGGGTTACCTGGCAAGGGGGGCTGACCCGGCTTGACTACTATTTTCATGTAAACGCTTAGAAACATTTGACTGCAAAAGGGTCACCCGCCGCGTTGATTCAACCCGGGGTAAAAAGCAACCCGGGGTCGTGTAAAGAGGGCCTAATTTGTTTGCTGTGTGCGTTACCACCCGTGTTGAAAATTGTGCTAATATGCTGTACAAAGTTAAACTCATGTCTCCTTCCTGAAACATATTTCCACAACCTAAATTAAGGGCGATAATACGTAGGTTAAATGTCATTCACCGCTGTTGCGTGAGTTAAAAGAGATGGCCGTACCCTAAGAAACGTGAGGCAATCAGAAAAGATGCCAGATGAATACTGTACTCTTATGAGGTTTCAACTGTCGCACAAGGTTGATTTTTAGATTTCACCGTCTGTGCTGTCATTTCAGTGCCTTTTACACCCAGCTCCGCATTTTTAATTTGCAAGGCATCTGGACTCAATGTCTGGTTTTGTTTTTAGGTACTGTGGGATTCTTCGCCTGTTTCTTTTACTTAAGGAGAATCTACAGTAATATCAGTCCTCCTGAAAAGCCTGTCACGACCTGAATGGTGGAACATTGCATTAGTCATAATTTTCCAGTCATCCTCGTGGTCTTTTCCAGTCCTGTTCGACTACTGCAGGATGCGAGAGCCTCGAACCTAACTTTGGCGGAAGTTAAGCCCTGGGGTACTCCGGTATTAACCAGTTTTAGTCGGGGGTGGGGGAAAGTTACCTTACTTAAACAGCAAAAATAGTGTACTTGTCCTAAAAAGTATTGGGGACATTTTGGTGTGTCATTTGTTTAGTTACGTGACAGCTGTGTTTTTTACGAGTTTTATCCAAATCGAACCTCCGCTTGCGACGACGTAAGCGACCACCTCTTCTCAGCGAGCAGTTTTCCAAAATACCAAGAGTTTCCCAGTCAAATTGCTACATTTGGAACCTCTTGTAAGCGACCGCGAGCACTTATAGAGTTAAAAGTTTGAAGTTTTCTCTTGTTTTCAACCTCCCGTAAACGGCCACATATAATTGAGCGTAAATTGGATAAGGTGTAGTAACATTATTGCATTCCTGGGTGGTAAAAGAGACGGAAATTTCTCATTTGGAAGTACCGGATAATTTTCTCGAAATTGACTTTTCACATGAATAAAACATTTAAAACATGGGGTAGGTCTCTGCAATTAACATACGCTAATGAGGCAAAATTTTGATCCGATATATTCTAAGCCCTCGTAAGCGACCACCTCCCGTAAGCAAGTGGGCGCTTACGGGAGGTTCAACTGTATTCAAATTTAATTTTCTATGTAAGTTTATTCCAACACCTTCAGAGTTTCAGCGTCCTAAATATATTTTTTTCGAATCCTGAAGATTTTCTACTATTTTCGATCCAAGAAGTCACACCAACCTCGTTCCCAGAGTGAGAGAGGACTCTGAGAACGAGGTTGGTGGCGGACCTTTTGAAATGAATGGCGTCATTTTAGCGTGATATAATGTCATAGATCGCTCGTGAGTGGCTCTAACATAAACATTTTGGGTGCTTTACACAGGTCGCTTTAATCTCTATAGCAACGATAGTTTGGGCTGGCTTTTGACCCCTTCTGGGCTCACGAACGAAAACTGAAGAACCCGGGTAAATAGGGAAATGGTAATACCGAGCCCAAATCTCCCAACGCCAAACAGAGGGGGTCTGAGTACGAAATTAGGGAACGGGGCAGTGGAGTGTAATGGCTATGCGCACTCGTGATAGATCATGGTACATATCTTACAACAAAAATTATATGAAATGACTCAATTCTACGGTATGGAGAACACAAACCACGACAGCAAATTTCCATTTCTAGTTGGTGCCTATTTGTCTAAAACCTTTAATAAAGTTTTAAGTGCATAGCTTTAATAAGTTATCGGTATTCTGTTAAGGAAAGAGGTATGAAAATAACCCTCTATAGTGGCTTCTAAAGCCACTCTAATTTACATATTATTCAGTATAGTTTTATTTAAGGATAAAAGTTTGTAGCAAGAACAGAAAAATGCGAAAGAAACATTTTACTTGCTCAGTTTTTTTTTAGGATTTAAAAAGTTTTAAATAACAATGTTATTAGGCAAATTTTAATACGCAGAAATTACTTTTAAATATGAAAATATTTGTATACAAAACGGTAGGCCAAATACGTGAAATATATTGTATTAGAGGCGTTAGATTGTGTGTCAAGTTGTAAAATTTTTATAAAGGATAAATTTTCTAATATTGTGATAGTTGCATTGTATAAATAAAAACGACACGTTTTGAATATTCTATAATACGATAGTAATCTATGGTCCAATAATATTCCTAGTCATTCAGGCTGAGGGTATACACAGGGGAAATAGTCACGGAAGAAATTCTTAAAGGTCAGGGAAGTTTATTTTGAGTCAGGAAAAACTTATATTTTGACGAAAAGCCAGGGAAAATTGAAATAATTTAACACGGCTGAATTAATACCATTGAAGGCTACAAGAAACATTTGGGGTCACTGTGATCTCAACGATATTTTCCCTTAGTGAAGAAGGAAAATTTGTTGAAAACTTATCAGTCTTAATCAACGTGTAGAAAGGGCGGCTGTAAGTTCATGCTGGAAGCCGCTACTTCATCTGACATTTTACATTTTCTTTTTGGTTAGGGAAATGCTACTTTTATCAGAGAAAAGTCGGGGAATTTTAAAAAGTAATGTCTGCCAATCATGTCAATGCTGTAGCGGTGACCCACCACAGAGAGAACGAGAAAAACGGTAAACAGCGAAAGTTGCCACCGATTTTGTTTTGTGTTCCTCTAATCCTTTAATTAATCCAACACAAAAATAGAAAAACTCCCCTATTCACGGCAGATACAGATATTCTTACTTTTGTGTACAAACGGCTAATTAGGGAACGGCGAAAGTTCATTTTTTGTCGTTTCCATTTGCCGTAAACGTCGTTCTTGACTTCTGTATGATGTCGCTGGTAGAACANGTTAGATTGTGTGTCAAGTTGTAAAATTTTTATAAAGGATAAATTTTCCAATATTGTGATAGTTGCATTGTATAAATAAAAACGACACGTTTTGAATATTCTATAATACGATAGTAATCTTTGGTCCAATAATATTCCTACAGTCATTCAGGCTGAGGGTATAAACAGGGGAAATAGTCACGGAAGAAATTCTTAAAGATCAGGGAAGTTTATTTTGAGTCAGGAAGAACTTATATTTTGACGAAAAGTCAGGGAAAATTGAAATAATTTAACACGGCTGATTTAATACCATTGAAGGCTACAAGAAGCATTTGGGGTCACTGTGATCTCAACGATATTTTCCCTTAGTGAAGAAGGAAAATTGGTTGAAAACTTACCAGTCTTAATCAACGTGTAGAAAGGGCGGCTGTAAGTTCATGCTAGAAGCCGCTACTAGATCTGACATTTTACATTTTCTTCTTGGTTAGGGAAATGCTATTTTTATCAGAGAAAAGTCGGGGAGTTTTAAAAAGTAATGTCTGCCAATCATGTCAATGCAGTAGCGGTGACCCACCACAGAGAGAACGAGAAAAACGGTAAACGGCGAAAGTTGCCTCTGATTTTGTTTTGTGTTCCTCAAATCCTTTAATTAATCCAACACAAAAATAGAAAAACTCCCCTATTCACGGCAGATACAGATATTCTTACTTGAAAACGCATACTTTTTGATGCGTTTTCGCGTATTGTCAACACTACAACGCCCAAAACTGCGGATGAAAACAGAGGCATTTGAAAACGGTTTCGAAAGTCATTTTCGAAACCGTGGAGTTTATTCAAAACGCATTTCGAAAAACGCCCCGCTTGTAGCGTGGACAGATGAAAACGGAGCCTTTTGGAAACGGTGACGAAAAAAGCGTCATAGGCTGTTGCTTTCATCAGCGTTTTCGGTCCTTTTAGTGTGGACGATAGGCGAAAACGCATCAAAAAGTCTCCGTTTTCGGTACAAAAACGCGTCAGCGTGGACAGGAAAATAAAGCGAAAACACTAATGTGGGCGAAAATATTTTGCTTCGTTGAGACGAAAACGGATATTTTTAAAATCGCGTAAGTGTGATCGAGGCCTCAGCGTGGACGGAAAACATTTTGAAAACGGAGGTGATTTCCCTGCTCGAGTTTTCCTATAACACAAATTCAAAATATTTCACAAATGACCAGTGATTGCTGCGTTTTCAAATTTCTCCGGCGTAGTGTGAACGGAAAACATTTGATGTGTTTCCAGAGTGAATTCTCTTTTTCCAAATTCCTCCGGGGTAGTGTGGATGGGGCCTTACAGTACAGAAAAGGCGATCCGTTCACGGGAAATAGCGTTTCTCAGAACGGTCTAGGTCAAATTCCGGCCGGCTTCTCGATCAAATTGCCAAAACACATTTTAGACTGTAAACACCAGAAATTCAAAGCGATTCTTCCAAAAGAAAACTTAATGCTTGCATGACTGGCTACAGATTGCCTGCGCTATAAATAAACTTTCGACTGGCAGCCATTAACTGCAGCAATTGTCATTGGCGGCTTTACCATTAACTATAGTTAGTGCTGGAGTTGGTTTAAATATATATTGCTGATCGATAAAAATCATTTCCATTCTAGACAAATCAACCGGATCCTTATAGTTTTACACATCGGTAATACATATGTGAACAAAACTTCAGAAAACGCAAGTACTGCATACATTTTACTACTTTCGGTTTTTTGATGATTTCCTCAACGGAGATGGTTTTATAGCTACGAAACGGCCATCTGTCTTGCTGAAACAAAGTGGATAGGAAATCAGTTTCCGTGTTGCAAAATAACACAAAAGGGCCAACATTCATGGCGGAAACTTCTTGTGATGCAGTACACTATCTCCCGACATTGTCCGAAGTTCAAAAACTTCATTCATCCTACATCGCCAATTGTGTCTTCAACAGTTTTCTTTCCTATACAGCCATCATGTTAAACATTGTAACGATCCACGCAATTCGAAAAACTTCGTCGTTGCCAAAACAGTTAAAAACATTGCTATTGAGTCTTGCTGTTTCTGATATTGGTGTTGGTTTGTTAGGCGAACCATTTTACATCTCGCTCCTGGTGAGGTGGTTGCAAAAAGACATCCCCGACTGCATAGCCTACAACGGTTTTTTCATCGTCATAAGGTTGTTTTCTCTTGCTTCGTACCTTACTGTTGTGGCCATAAGTGTGGACAGATTCTTGGCTATTCATCTTCATCTCAGATATCAGGAACTTGTGACTTACCAGCGAGTTGTTGCCGTGGTAGTGTCAGTATGGGTTTTCAGCGTACTTATTTCATTAACTACGTTTTGGCTTGCCACTGAAATTTCTTCCGTAGCGCTTTCTTCTATTGGAACTGCTTGTGTCATTGCTACTACAACAATCTATTGGAGGATTTATTTAGCTTTAAAGCGCCACAAGAACCAAATGGAAGCCATTCAACTACAAGAAATCCGTGAAATAACACAAAATGGCAACATGGCAAATTTTGCGAGCATTAGGAAGTCCGCTGTGGGCGTATTTTATGTATATCTCGTGTTTTTGGTTTGTTACTTACCTCACTTTCTGCTTTTGTTAATCCACGCCCCGAGTTTTGCTGTAATTAAGCACACTCTCGAACTCTACTCGATGACGTTGATTTTTCTGAATTCCTCTCTGAACCCTGTTATTTATTGCTGGAAGATGAAACACATTCGTCGAGCTATCATGAACATCCTGCGAAACTTCATCCGCCGGCACCACTGATGACCCAACAGTCCCAGCACACAACTGATGAGCAGTACCCAGCATATCACAAGAGGAGGCACTTCGAAAAATTATCGTCATAAAACTTTTGCCATTGAACCACGACAGAATTTACTCGGTTGAGCGAATTAAGCCTTTGTTCAGTCGGTAGCAGAAGGTTTCGCAACCAATCAAGTTCCGGCACGTCCCAGTTCGAACGACACTTTGATAGGTCGCTGGAGTTCGCTCCCTACGGCTTTCTTTCTTACCATATCTTGATGTAAGCGTTAAGTTTAAGAAAACTGGAGCCCAAAAGGCATTGTTATTAGTCTTGAGAGAGAAACCACTGACTGTTTCTCGTCCTTTAAACGTGAACACGAGAGTGAATGCTTGAGGCGACTGACTCACTCAACATCTCAGTGCGAACAAGAAGGCTTACGGTACTTTGCGAAACGAAACGAAATGAAATGGTACTTTGCGAAATGGTACTTTGCGAAACATACTGTATTACCAAAAAGAAAGCAATACTAAACACGGATTTGCAAAATTATGAGTTTTAGACTTACAAAGCGTTGAAATTTAACAGGATCCCACAAGAACTGCCGATCTTCATATCAACGATTTGAAATTATCATATTGTGAAGTCGTTTTCCATGAGGCCTAGTCAACACGATTTAAACGACAGCTTACGAGAATTCGAATTAAGTAGTCATCAGGAAACAAATGCTTCATAAACTTTGGAATTCAGTCAGAAGCAACGCTCGTGTTTACATCAGTCTTCACACATGACAGGCGCCAGTTTCTATTCCTTTACTCTCTATTCCGCGAAAGATAGTTCCATGCATTTAACAATGTATTCTACATTCATGATTACATTGCAAATTATAGTCGCTAAATCTAATTAATATATGCATGCAATCATTGTTGTCAGGAAACCATGGCTACAGAGGCAAGCTGAAGATCGCTTTATCTATTGGCGGTTAACCTGTTTGCACGTGCATTAAATGCCGTTGACTCACTGATTAAGATGTTGTGTTTATCTCATTCGCCAAGAAAGTAAAATATTTCGTTGGCTTTTCTTTTTCTAATCGATCAAATTGCCCGCAAGCCTTAACGATCCTCATGGTGACCACGTTGACGGTGATTGATGGGTTAGAGCTAGTTTTCATCACCGTTATAGAAATAGTAAGATCGGTTTCAAATTTAAAGACTTCGCACCTGTTTAAGTTTTGGTAACTAAGCTTTTACAGATGGCTTACAACTTTTGATAAGACCAATGAATGACGTCATTACTTTCACTTGCAGCTCACGGATAGGACGAAATAATTGGGAAGCTGGAGTCTCGTGAGTTTAATTAGAATTACTGATTGCTAAAATTCGTTTTATTCAAAGGAAATTCGTGCGATCGAACTACTGTTATTCGTGTGTTATTCGTGTTTGTGAGCAGAACAGTGGAAAGGTTGGAAAGTGCAAGTCCTGCAAATGTTTTTGTCGCTTTCGATGGTTTGACAATTGCTTTTAAGCTTAATAACCATAAAACTATTCCTTTAGGCAAATGAACAGGCTCTTCTGCTGCAATATAAGTTGAGAAACTGAGAAAACGACCGGCTGTAAAGCTGTAAAGCGTAGGAAGAAACTGAATGGTTTCAAATTGAACAAGAAAACCATATGATTACTTATCAATAATATAAACACGAAAAAATTCGTGTGGAGGAAGTGCCGGAAAATCTTTCTTGAACCCATTTTTTCTCATTCGAGAAAACTTTTCTCAAAGTTTCCGCACAAAATTTTCGTCATCATTTACGTGATATCATTGGCTTAAAAAATTTCCTATTGTCTTTCAGCCAATCATAATCCAGAATTACGATGTGTAATTTGCACTGGTGTTACACTTTTTGCACTGATGTTACACTTGAGCTGCACTGTTCTCAACCTGTCATAATCGAGTAATTGTTTCATGTGTATTATTAACTGTCAAAACTTTGGTTTACTGCACCGGGCGAAACAGAAATATTCACCTGATGTTTGTTTGAAAGCCAAAATAAATCTTGCAAGCAAGTGAAGCTTGTTCACCAAATTCCAGGGGCATCCAACGGAATATTATTATAAAATATCTCTTGGGATGGAAGGTTGTCTAAACTCAAAAAGATTTTGGAAGTTTTTGCTGAGCGATGCTTTAGACGTTTCAATTTTTTTCGGAAAACCATACTGGTTTCCCAAGAATTTTCGGAATTGATGTGCTCACTTCTTATAATGTACCATAATTTTCGGACGGGTTTTTTTTCTGTTCGTTAAAATTTCGGTCTGCCTTATTTATTTTACATGTATAAGTTGCTAAAATTTCGGCAAAAACCATTTAGCGGTCAGATTTAGGACAACGACCGAACACCCTTGTCTGTCTTTAATCTGACAGAGCGCATAATTTACGCGCCCTTACGTTTTCGGATGAATAGGCTTTACGCCTATAATTTTCCGATGAACATTTATATTGCATATCATTTTCGCAAAATTTCGATAGGCACGCGGATAAAGCAGAAACTTTCCCCTAAAATTTTCTAGTGAAACTATGGCTTCTTCGTATCCTCGAACCTTTCGACAAGAGATAACTATTTTCGATGAGTCAAAAAAGGACCCTAGAACTTTCCGGAAATGACCCAAGTTCCCCCTAAATATCCGAACAGATAAATATTTTTAGGGCAGCTCCAAATTAACTAAACGGGCTTCTAGAACATAGAGAAATACATCAGAGACACTCCTGACGTATTTGAAAATATTCGGTTGTTGGGTGGCCCTGAAATTTCAACGAACTTGTTGGTCTTGGACTGTGGGCTTAATACAACCTCGTTTCCAGAGGAAAATCCCCGGGACGAGACGACGATTTTCAAAATGGTGGCTCGTGGCCATTTTGAAAAGTAGAGAAGATCCCCGGGGAGGGGGGTACTTCCTTACATGGGCTATATAGGTATGTGCGGCCCCAAAAGGTATGGTTTTTCAGCCGTTTCGGTCATAAATAGGGTATCGATTTTAGCTGATTTTGGCCATTTTGGTCATAAATAGGGTATGGTTTTTGCACTCTAGCCTTGATATGGGTATGTTCTTAAGAGGAAGCCACTTTTTCATCATTATCGAAAATAAAAATAACAAAGGCCCTTCACAAATTATGTTTATAGCAATTTAACATTGGTCTGAACTTGGTAACTAATTAATACGCAGTTCAGAAACAGTGTGTTAAGTTAAGGGTCAGGTCATAAATAGGGTTTCGAATTTTTGTTCAGGTCATAAATAGGGTAAGGGTAGGCGGGCCGCACACCCCCGCCCAATTGTTCTGGGAATACCCCCGGGGGGGGGGGGGTTGCGACACTTTCAGAAGTAGAGAATTATTAGTATTACTTGTCAGAATCAGCAGACGGACGATTTTTCAAACCCAGCAGGTGTCTTAAGCTT